TCTCTCTCTCTCTCTCTCTCTCTCTCTCTCTCTCTCTCCAACCCTGGATCGTTACCCTGGATACGCCTACTCAGGTATCTTACACCTTGGCGGCTATGGCCGCCGTCCTCCTGCTCTACGTCTAACCTGGCTATGGACTAACTCTCAGGCGCCCAATTCTTCTTCAGGCGCAAAGTGCCCACAAGCAGCAGCAGTGCTTCCACATCTCGCAACTGAACAAGTGATGAGTCACTGTACTGTAGCAGCTAAATATAGGACTTGTCTTTGCTTGGCTTGGCTCGGCTTGGCCTGCTTCAGACTGGTACCCGCCAGCCATGTCCTGTCTGCTGCAAACATTATGTCGGTCTGGTACCTTCCGGACTTTCCAGGGACATGCTGCAAAATTGGACTTGGGGACTGTCGGACTGGACTTGGATGCTTCTGGACTTTCCTTGTTGGGTACCGGGCAGACTCCTACCGACCTACGACGCTTCGGTACCGACAACTACAGTCCTACGACTCTTCGACCTTAGGGTCGGCCCTGGGACTTGGGACTTATCAGGACCTTCGGACCGGAACTGGGGTCTGCAGCGTGAATCCTTTCACTCCCGCCGGCCTAGTTTCGAGGTCCTCCGAGAAAAATCCATTTTTACCTGTCGTATATGTTCAACCCACGTCTAGCCCGCTCGTAGTAGGAAACAATGTGAGGGGCTGTTTGAATCAGTTCCTCCCTGGGGAACCAGCTGTCCTCGCTGGGTTCCTGATAAGTGAATGTGACCTTATGTTGTCTTTGCGGTCTCCCTCGATGACCAGTTCGGAATGTATCTTCAGCGACTATGCGATCTACGTCATATGTTCCATCCATATCCGGCAGCATCATGGAATGTCGGGAGGAAACTGGTCGTTTGTGATGCAGGGAAGTAACTTAGAGGCGTGGAATACTGGGTAGGTGTGCAGGTGGGGCGGAATCTCGATCGTGTAGGATGGACCATCTGCCTCCCCTTTGACCTCTAAGACTTGCCATGGTCCCCTATATGCGGGTAGCAGTTTCTGCGAGATCCCTTCCTCAGGAACGAACTCCTTAGACTTAACCCATACCAGATCACCTATTGCAAATTGCGATGGTCGTCGATGCTTGTTAGCTTGTTCCACCATCTGGTGCTGGGCGTTAAGGATGTTCTTCTTGACCTGCTCTAGATCTTTCTCGTACTGAACAGCAAACTCCCTCGTGCTGGGTGGCAATCTTTGAACCTGATCTGGATTCAGACAGTCAATTGGACGCCGGGGTTGCCAACCTCTGTGCAATTCATTCGGTGTACGGGCTGTGAACGAGTGCACCGAGTTGTTATAAGAGGACTGCACCTTTGGGAGATGCTCATCCCAGTCAATCTGGTCGGGTCTAATGTGCATGCAAAGCTTTTGCTGAAGCAGTTTGTTCATCTGCTCAGTCTGACCG